CGAGTGGGTCGCGAATGTTGTCGGCGAGGCGTACAACGCCGACGTGCTGCGCGAGCCCAACTTCGTGGACGCGCTGCGCAGTGGCGTTGTGCTGCTGGTGCTGCTGCAGAAGCTGCGGGACCCGCCAGTGCCCGACGACGCACTGAAGGTGCCGAGGCGCGCGACGGGGTTCTACGCGCGCGACAACGTTGTCTCGTTCCTGCGGGCGGCGAGGAGCACGTACAACCTCGTCGAGGCGCAGCTCTTCACGGATTCCGACCTCTGTGACGGGAAGAATGATCGCGCCGTCGTGACGTGCCTTCTGGCCATCGCACGCATCGCCTACACGCGTGGCAGCATCAAGGTGGCCCCGGCGATGATCGTCTACGAGCAGGAGATTGACGCCAGGATGAAGGGCATCACACAGCAGCACATTGATGACATGCTGCTTGAGGCGGAGCTATCCGATGTGAATTCTGAAGGCACGCCTAGCAGCAGCGGTGAGGAAGTAGTAGAGGAGACGGAGGAGCATCATGTAGACGCGCAGGAATACTCCGAGTGCATATCGCCCCCGCCATCGAGCCCCACTCTCACCGCACATGAAGAGATGTCGCCAACAGAAACCACCAACGCACTCAAGGAGGAAGATGACGACGAAAAGGAGGCTACAGAAGACGTAGCGCATCCCCTTGTAGAGAACGGCACGAAAGACGACGAAGACAAGAGGAAGAACGCAGCAGGAGAAGCAGAAGGAGAAAAAACGCCGCGAGAAAGGACAGGCTGGAGGACCATCTCGATTCACGGCGGCACCAGCAGCAAGAAGCCGAAGAACACATCACCGGCTCCTAAGAAAGAGGTGCCGCCCGTCACATCAAACGTGGCGCTCCCAGAGGCCCCGAAGTATCGCCCGCGACGCTGGGATGATATTGACACATTGCTCGCCATCATTGTGAATACCCACTTTGTCACACACCCGTACTCCCAGGTTCGCTTCCGTCGCCTGTCGGGGAAGGTCGGCGAGTACGTGGTGTACCATCGCACTGTTGGACGCAAGCGTCTGGTGTACGCGCGCATTCTGCAGGGGCGCCTCATGATCCGGCAGTCCAGCGCCAGCAGCGGCAGTGCGTCGTCGTGGGTTGAGCTGCGCGACTGGCTGGTGCGCTATGAGCGGGAGATGCACTCGTGAAGCTTAGAATGTTGCTTTGTTTAAGAGAGAGAGAGAGAGTGTGTGTGTGTGTGTGTGTGTGTGCGTATGTGGTGCTGATGGTGGGTGGGTGGGTGTGGGTGTCTGTGTGGAAGGGGGGAGAGAAATTCACTCTGTGTTTATGTGCACGTGCTTCTCTGTGTGGGTGGGTGAATGCGAGAAGAACAGAGTGCGGAAGTTCCTCTTGTGATGCCGAAGCACCGCTCAGTCCTGCGTCCTCTTACGGCATGGCCACGCCACATGGATACATAGATACTCACACGCACGTTTATTGACGCGATACTCTCATATCGCTCACACACTTCGCTTTGTTTCTGTCTGTCTCCTGTTATGTTGTGATGGACTTAAGTGAAGGGAGAATTCTAAAGGAAGTCCTCTGGAGTGCGGAGGTACAGCAGAAATTTAAGGGAACGTGGTGGCGGGTTTCGAGCAGCTGCAATGCGCGGAGGTGAACCCATTTCACGCACCACAATGATGCTGATCAGCGCCTGGGGCCCGGAAGATTACACGCTATCCGCCTTTATTGAATATATTCGTCGCTTCTTTCTGAATTAAGTGAGACACCCCTTCTCTACCCGTTGTGGGTTCAGTGTATTTTGGTTTGCCTCTTCTGCCGTTGGCACCAGCCGCCCCCTGCGTGGAGGGTATTGATGTACAGAAGTGTAGACCCCACGCAGCGTGCCCCCTCCTTCCAGCCGCATAGAGTGGAAGGCTTGCCTGTCTGGCCCCGGGTGTCCCCAGTGGCACATATGCACGCATTGCTTCCGTTTGCTGCAGTCGTGCAAAGGCGTTCGTCGTGGCACCTGGGCGAGAAGGATGGAAGGAAGAAAGGAAGGCATATGGGGGAGGTGCAGTGATACTGGTGTTATTATTTGTGCTTTTGTGTGGTTTCTGGGGGTTTTTTGTTTGTTTTGTTCTTAGATAGGCATGTTGTGCGAGGCAAAGTGACACTCCCGGGTTTGGCTGCTCGTTTTTGTCTTTTTTTTTTTTTT